ATTTATTTATTTAATAATATAAAAAAGTTATATAAAAAATTATACAAAAAATTATATAAAAAATTGTCATTATATTACTACACATTTTTTAAATTAAGCATTTAACCTTAAATAAGGAAGTAAGAATATTTCCCTATCATTTTTTAGGCCGCATGTTACCTTAAGTGGGCCACACAGTGGCTTTCATGGCACCACACAATTAGAATTGGAAAGTTCTGTCAATATAGTTAACGGAGTTGCATAGGGATAGATGAAAATGAAACAATTTTGAAAGTTAGTAGATGAGTTTGAAAGAAAACAAAGATTCTAGACTAAAATAAAAAAAGAGTAATAGTTAATAGATTATTTTTTAAATTAAGCCTATTACTTGCAACATAAGTACTTATGTTGCCTTGATTCTTTTTAGGAAAAAAATGTGTTAAAAAGTGATTTTTATTGTTTCCAAAATCAATTATAACGGTACATAATTAATTATTTCTTTAAATAATCAATTACACTCATTTTTAATTAATTATGTTTTTATAAGACAGAGCAAATGATTTAACTTGTGAAAAAAGGTGAAGGAGTTACAAAGGTTCAAACCCTTATTAATAGATACAAAGCCTTTTATATTTAGATATTTAGTCAACAAACTTGGCTTGGAGGTTACTTTTTATTTTGATTTTTCGTCGCATAATTTCTACTTTCTAGTGCTAAGATATTAACAATTGCTCATGGCTACTCGGCAGAACCCATCTGTGGAGGATAATTACTAAACAGGCCACAACTAGAAAGATATCAAAAAAATGGAAGGCTACCCAGCACGTTATTAAAAGAAAAGTTAAACTCCTAGTTGGATCCTTCAGCTATTGTATAGATTTTTGAATTGGTTATTAAACTAAAATTTTTTTTAATTTTGTCCTTCAAGTTTTTAAATTTAACTTGAAGTTGGTTTCTCCATTAAAAAATAACTGACGTGTCCTATTACTAACTTGACATATGACCATTAAATAACAAACATGTTAGCCATTATTCAACGCAAAAACCATCCTAGGATTAAATTTAAAACTTTAAAGACCAAATCATGAATTTTTTTTTAATTTAAGAACCAATTTAAGAATTGTACAATAGTTAAGGGATCAATAAGGGAGGTTTAACCTAAAAGAACTTGCCATCCCAACTTAAGGATCATGTGAGCAATTGAATAGATGGAAAATTTAGGACAAAGATGTAAATTAAGCATACCTATCCAAACAGATAGAAAGTAAAAAGCGTACATCTTTCTCTAAAGCAAGAAGAAAGAAGAAAACGGCCTAATTTTGTACAAAAAAAAAAAAAAAAACTTGAAACTGTGTTGATTCCGAACTAAAGAAAAATAGTGTTTTGTAAAGAGCACATGATTAAAGCTTATGTCTCATTCTTTTATAGTTTTTTTTTTATTAACCTCTTGATATTTGTTAATGACATTGGATTTTAACTAATTCAAACTTCAGTCACGTTTGACCATGCTTTTATAGTTAATAATACAATGATTAAATGCTAAATTTGGTCCCTCAATAATTTTTTGCACTTTTTTTATCCCTCAACTCTAAGAAATGCACAACATTAGTCTTTTTGTCAATTTGAGCCGTTAACTTCGTTCATGTGGCATTTTTTATATTTTTTTTTGATGATGTGGAGAGCAAAATTTAAAAAAGTACTGATATAGACAAAACGTTTTGCCATGTCATGCCTCCACGACTCAAAGGCACCAAATCCACTCAAATGGGCCCGACATCACTTGCCAAAGCACCAATAAAGGGGTAAAATGCCTGTGAACCCTAAATTGCTCTTTCATCTTCACTTCATTTGCAAAATCAATCTTAACCCATTTTTTCTTCTTCTTTGAATGCTCTTTCATCTCCACTTCATCAAATTAACTTAATAAACAATGTCAATCAAATCTTAATTAAATTTCAACATAAATGTAATCAAATTGTAAATCAACTCCTAAATTTATCAAGAACTAGAAATGGAAATCGAAAGAAGAATGAGAAAACATGGTGAACTTGACAAACCTAGTTCTAAAAAAGAATGGCAATCAACATAACCTAGTTCTAAACACAACAGCTAGGTTTCGAAGAAACTTAACAAAACTGGGTTTTGTCGAACCCAGTCGACCTGGGTTCCATGGAACCCAACAAAGCTGGATTTTGTCGAACCCAG